AGAAAGGAGTAATTTCCTCAGTACTCTCACTTTTGGAAAAGTACAAGCTAGAAAGATGCCTCTATTACTTAATAAAATCAAATGCAACACAGAACACAAAATAATGAAGCAAATGACGGAAACGTCCAACATTAGAAGACAAACCTCATTTGTTTTAATAAACCAAATTAGCAGAATACAAAAAATAAATCCTCAGAGTAAAATAAACCAACATAATATAAGAGAACATAGGGAAAATGTTCAGAAGCAACTAAGTTTCATTTTCTGAAGTGACTTAAGCACTCAGGTGCTTAAGACCCACTGACATTCAGGGAAACCTAGGCTCCACTCCCTTAGGGTATGTCTGCATTGCACCTGGGAGTGAGCCTCCCAACCCGGATCCACAGACTTGTGCTAACAGAACTTACACTAATGCGCTAAAAGTAGCTGTGTAGAGGCTGCTTTTGTGAGGCACTGTATCTCAAAATAGCACCCCAAAACCCCCATATTCACCGCTATGATGATATGTTTTGTACAAAGTATGCCTTGTGAGGTATCATTTGGAAAATTATAATCTGTTGAGCATCATTGTTCTGTCAAAATGTTATGTATCATTAGGAGATTTTGCTACATGTTTGCTACTGAAACATGTTAAGAGTCTGGGAAACACCCAGAGACTAGCTCTTCAGTAGCACTCTAGGAGTGACCAACACCCAGCCAGGTGTCAGAGTACCATCACCAGCCATGCACCAGCAGGAGAGTTGAAAACAAGAGATTTACAATTCACACACAAGACAGTTGCTGGAGCACGTACACCATAGGGCTGCCTAAGCCCCAGGATACAGCAAGGATCTTTCCAGCACCTGGAGGAGAGTATAAATAAGGGACAACGACATTACCATGTCACCTCTTCTCCCTCACGTACACTGAATGTAATAAGTTCTTTTGGAAGATAAAAACATTTGTAGTGGGGGGAGTGGTTTCCAGTTAGCACAGACTGCTGTAACTTTTTGCATAAGAGAAACCATCCACTTCAAATTTGACTTAGCTTGATAAAGTTTAGGAATTAGACTGGGATTTTATCTTTTATTTAGAGCTGTCAAGTGATTAAAAAAATTAATCAGGATTAATCGCACTGTTAAACAATGATAGAATACCATTTATTTTAATATTTTTGGATGTTTTCTATATTTTAAAATATATTTATTTCAATTACAACACAGAATACAAAGTGTACAGTGCTCACTTGATATTTATTTTTGATTACAAACACTTGCACTGTAAAAAAGAAACTTCAATTCATCATGCTGAAGTACTGTAGTGCAATCTCTTTATCATGGAAGTTGAACTTACAAATGTAGAATTATGTAAAAAAGAATAACTGCACTTAACAATAAAACAATGTAAAACTGTAGAGCCTACAAGTCACTCAGTCCTACCTCTTGTTCAGCCAGTCACTCAGACAAACAAGCATTCACTGTTGGGAGAGGACAGGGAAGGGGGGAAGTAAGCAATGATTTGTGCAGGAGGAGGTTCTGGGAGGACAAGGGGTACCGATGTGTTGGGGGGGGAGCAAGCAATGACTTGGCACAGGACAAGGGTGAGGGAGGTGTTTTGCTGCTGCTTCTGGAAGGGTAGTTTCTAGTACTGGGCTCATCAGGCTCACCTCCTTTTACTGAGCTAGGTGGGCTCCCTTCAGCTAAGTGAGTCCTTCTTTGCAAGGGAGGGTGGATTTTACCTCGGGGACTCATCATACTGCAGGGGAGGAGAGGCTGGTACAGGGAGGCTGAGCTCACCAGGCCCATGTTCTCTATGGGGTACCTCCGGAGCAAACAGCCCGTTAAAGGGAATGGGGCACAATGCAGGGGGGTTGGTCCCAGGAGTGAGGGGCCAGCTGGGAACAATAGGGCCCGGGCTGGCTAGGGTGCCGATACATCGTTTTGGCCAGGACAGTCCCCATTTCCAGCTCTGTCCCTGATGTCCTTACTTCTTTGCCAAACCTGGTTATTCGTCCTGGCTGCAAGGCAGAGCAGAGAGAGGTGGCTGCCCGGGGATCAGCTAAAGGCAGCACTGCCCAGCAGCAGGAAAGTGGAGAAATTTGCTGCTGGCAGGCAGTGCTGGCTTCAGAGCTGACCCCTGGGCGGTGCAGAGCTTGAGTCAGCGGAGTGGGTGGGGGAGAGGATCAGCCTCAGCTTAGGGGGCGTGGAGCTCGCGGCGGGGAGGCTCGGGCGAGCCCCTGGCGGTCCTGTTCTTACTTTAAAAACGCCGGGATGAGAACCAGGTTACTTTCTCTAGCCTCTTTTCTTCCCGCCCTCTGGTGGCGGCTTGTGTTACTGCATCTGACCAGACAGGCTCTCCAAAGCAGCTCATGCTCCCCTCCCGCCCAGAGGGTCTGCGATTAACCCACATTAAAAAAATTAACACGTTAATCCTGCTCTGCATTAATTGCACACGTTAACGGCAGTTAATTTGACAGCCCTAATTTTATTTCTTTTTGCAATCAATTCTGAATTTCTATGCCTATACCACTTATAAGTCTCTTAGAACCTATCTTTCTATAGTTAACAAACTTATTTCAGTGTTTTACCTAAGCCAGTGCATTTTTGGCTGAAGTCTGGGGAGTCTACTCAGGTTATAAAGGCTGGTGCATATCTGTACCCTTTGATGGCATGACAAACTAATGAGCTTACTCTGACCTAGGGGGTCTTGAGCAGTGTCAGGCGCATTTTTGGGGTGCAAGGCTGGGACTAGGGATATATGAGTGTCGCCCTATATGTAACTCAAGAATGGCTTGGCATAGCACTCTGGAATATGTCCAGGGATGACCTGTGTGCTAGAGGCTGGGGTGAGTGAGCAGAGTGGCCACTCACACAGCAAGGCAGGGCATAGGGCACACCAGACCAGAGAGTTAAGGGTGCACAACCATCCAACAGTCCAGATTGTACCCCGGGCAGGTCATAGCATTGACGCTGTAATTTGACCTCCATCTTAGACTCTTAAGCCCACCTCCTCCTTGAGAGGACCTTGAGAGCCCAAACTCCAGCCTGAGCCACAATGTCTACACAGTTATCTGTAGCACACTAGCGCAAACCCTGGTAAACCAAGTCTGTTAACCCAGGCTCGCTCCCAGATGCAATGTAGACATACACTCGGGTGCTTTTGAACATTTATAAACAAAATATGACAAGAAAATTACTCCAAAATTAACACATTTTTATCAGGGTTAAACCAATTGGTTCAATATTAGGAATCTAAAGGAAAAAACCTGAAGGGGAATTAAAGACAATAAAACTCATTGTTTCTCTGCAAACCCCTGCAACTTCCAGAATAACTGACTTAAGATTTGAGAGCAGAGGATCTATATATATATACAGCTATAAACACATACTGGAGAGGAATTCTAGGAAAACTGTATCTAATCAGGATATCAACTTAATCTAACTTCATAGAATCATAGAATATCAGGGTTGGAAGGGACCCCAGAAGGTCATCTAGTCCAACCCCCTGCTCGAAGCAGGACCAATTCCCAGTTAAATCATCCCAGCCAGGGCTTTGTCAAGCCTGACCTTAAAAACCTCTAAGGAAGGAGATTCTACCACCTCCCTAGGTAACGCATTCCAGTGTTTCACCACCCTCTTAGTGAAAAAGTTTTTCCTAATATCCAATCTAAACCTCCCCCACTGCAGCTTGAGACCATTACTCCTCGTTCTGTCATCTGCTACCATTGAGAACAGTCTAGAGCCATCCTCTTTGGAACCCCCTTTCAGGTAGTTGAAAGCAGCTATCAAATCCCCCCTCATTCTTCTCTTCTGCAGGCTAAACAATCCCAGCTCCCTCAGCCTCTCCTCAAAAGTCATGTGTTCTAGACCCCTAATCATTTTTGTTGCCCTTCGCTGGACTCTCTCCAATTTATCCACATCCTTCTTGTAGTGTGGGGCCCAAAACTGGACACAGTACTCCAGATGAGGCCTCACCAATGTCGAATAGAGGGGAACGATCACGTCCCTCGATCTGCTCGCTATGCCCCTACTTATACATCCCAAAATGCCATTGGCCTTCTTGGCAACAAGGGCACACTGCTGACTCATATCCAGCTTCTCGTCCACTGTCACCCCTAGGTCCTTTTCCGCAGAACTGCTGCCTAGCCATTCGGTCCCTAGTCTGTAGCGGTGCATTGGATTCTTCCATCCTAAGTGCAGGACCCTGCACTTATCCTTATTGAACCTCATCAGATTTCTTTTGGCCCAATCCTCCAATTTGTCTAGGTCCTTCTGTATCCTATCCCTCCCCTCCAGCGTATCTACCACTCCTCCCAGTTTAGTATCATCTGCAAATTTGCTGAGAGTGCAATCCACACCATCCTCCAGATCATTTATGAAGATATTGAACAAAACCGGCCCCAGGACCGACCCTTGGGGCACTCCACTTGACACCGGCTGCCAACTAGACATGGAGCCATTGATCACTACCCGTTGAGCCCGACAATCTAGCCAGCTTTCTACCCACCTTATAGTGCATTCATCCAGCCCATACTTCCTTAACTTGCTGACAAGAATACTGTGGGAGACCGTGTCAAAAGCTTTGCTAAAGTCAAGAAACAATACATCCACTGCTTTCCCTTCATCCACAGAACCAGTAATCTCATCATAAAAGGCAATTAGTCAGGCATGACCTTCCCTTGGTGAATCCATGCTGGCTGTTCCTGATCTTGTATCTAATCAGGATAGCTTAAATATGCACCTTTTACCAAATCCTCCATATGATCTGTTTTTAAGTAAAAATGTCACTAAAAACAAGCTGGAAATACAACCTCTGCCATTAGGCCCTTTGGCAAACTGCCTCTGGAATGTCCCACTGACTTCAATGCAGTCCTTCCTAGAAGAAGTTGTAGGATTGGGGCCTTAATTTTAAGCCATTTTTTGCCCAATTTCATTAGCTTTCCTCTCACCCTAGGCCTATCCTCCTCTCACAGTTACAGCTGCTGGTAGTATAAACCTTCCCTAGCAAATCTGATCATTTACCTTTGCTGCACTGTCCATTCTCCTTCTGTAGTAAGAGAGAGAGTAGTTCAGGAAAACATATCTCCATTTAAGGGGTATTCAGGATAGGGACATAGACCAATGGACTGAATCAGTATGGCCCAATCAAGTCCAGTGTCCCTACTGCTTCTGGCATTACTGCCTAATGCTTTGGGGGAAAAGAAAAACCCCACAAAGCACCTAGCCTGATGTGTAATGTTGCACAGAAACATGAGAGAGCCTCTTTTCTTATTCCTGCAGACATCATTTTATGCTCTGAAGCATGAGTTTTGATAACGCTAATCTTAGTATGCAGACACCAGGAAAAGGCTTCAAACTCATGTTATAAAACAAAAACTGTATCAAATATGAACTGATGACATAAGCTGTGCAACTGGTTTATAGAAAGAAATGTTTCCTACCAAAGAAACTCATAGAACTCAGTCATGAGTCAGCCTATGCACCCATGCAGAGGAAGAAGCAAGCATAAGATGCCCACTTACTCCTCTGTGTGGGCTTGCCACATGAAGAGTCATAACATGGGCAGTGATCACAGCTCTCCATCCAGCCAAGCAGGCAGAGAGTGAAGGGGCATTACCAGAACAGAAGGGGCATTACCTCCATGCCCCCACTACAAGGACCAGTGGAGCCACGTTGGTTTGCTGGGGGAAAGGAAGCTGTACTAGGAAAAGGGATGGTGCAACTCATGTTCACTGAAGCTAGGATTTGTAGAGTCATAATTTGGTCCCTGTTTTGTTCCTGAGGCTACGCAACTAGGTGCTGCCCCTTACGAAAGGCTGAGAGGTACCAGTCTAGCCATGAGTGAACTGTGCTGAGCAAAAATAGGGCCAGTAATCTTGTCAGACCTCTGTTACTATGCAGATTAGGCCTCCCACTGCGGCTTAAATGACGCTGCTAGAGAAATGATGATGCTCTTTTAAATAAAATAAAGCATGTAGCATAATTTGTTTAGTAAAATAATTATCTCTGGGACTCCTGAAAGCTCTGAAAATATTCCACTGAAGTGGGCTTCTGAGAAAGACCGAGGATTTACTGGTTGCCCAGAGAGAGGTCACGTCAGAATTGTGCCTCAGACAATGATATACTATCCACATTATATTAAATAATGATGATCTGGTAAACAAGCAGGTTAGTAGGTACCAAATATTTAGACTGCTGTCCTAACATTTGGTATAACTTTTTTTAAAACGACTTTTCTGAATGTGGTGTGTCAACATTTCCCAGGGTAAGTAATACAACTTAGTAACATTACGGTGATTACACAGCAAACAAGCAGCATGCTGCTTCAATAAAATTACTATAAAAAGGGCAGTCTAATTTAATGATCTTTAAAACATTTTTCAAAAGGATACATATAAAGTGAGAAGCCTTGGGGCATGACTGGCTTTGAGAGTCAGAGACAGGAACTTTTCCAACCTCGTCTTTAACTCCGGCATCCAAGAATCCTTGAAAAGAAAAAACAAAAAATTACAGCTGGAGTCATAGCAACTTCCAGCAGCAAGCAACACAGCCAGCACTGCAGTGAAAAATTGTGCCTCTAATGGTATGAAAGCTAGCCTGCTTGATGAGTGGCTCATACGCATGCAAGAAAATGACAAGTCAACTCAACGATAATCCTAAACATTTCATGTATAATATTTTATTTTTATTTTATTATTTAGTCATATATAATATTTTATTTCAATTTTAAAATAGCTACCCAAAAATAGGCATACTGAATGTGCATGGAACACAAGGCATTAAGTTGCAAAAATGAAAACAAATCAGGCCAAAAAATTAAAGCCGAATGAGAAAAGTTCATTTATTTGTAATGGAACATAAAAATGAACCCTTGCTAATTCTTCAGCTTTAATGAACAAAGCTATAGAAATCATCGTATTAATTTTTCATAGTTGACTCAGTCTGGAATTTAAGTTTACGTTTTGTCATTAGACTATCAAAGGCCATGGCCTTACGTCAGTGAATCAGAATACAACATTTCTATTAGAGGTTTGGATTCCAAGAACTTGTAAGAAAATTGGACTAATCCACGAATCATCCGCTGTTTGGAATGAAGTTTTCTTTCTGACAGATACATCTTCCCCTAAACACCAGAAAACATAGTGAATCGGGGGGAAAAAAAAACAGTCTTTGTTTCTTAAAAATTCCATACCAACTATCCATTTCCTCAGTCATCACCCTCCATCAATCGGGTTTCTGCTTGCTGAAAAGGTACCTAACAGGTGAACAGTTGATATTTTTCAACAAGCAGCAAAAACTTCCTGAGATTTGCTATTCTGTGTGTTCAGAGCTGCTCTTACATCTCAAGTTTCCCTGGGTTTCACCAGGTTGGAAACGATACAGGATTCACATTTGCCAGGTTTGCGAGTCTGAACTCAAGACAATGATGCACCATTGAATACTATACAGTATTGCCAGGCATACAATATGTGCTTACATACCTTTCGGCCTATCACATTTCAATATATCTCACACCAGAGGCAATATGCGGGGGTGCATGTAGGGTCACATGACCCCCTCAGGTTGCTGTGAGCACCAAGCTGCCCTTGCAGGGCTCAGAGTGAACTGACCCTGTGGCCCCACAAGAAGCCCATGGCCGGGTGCTGTATGAAATGCCACAGAGGCCCAATGCACCCCCTTCAGCTCCTGGCCCTTTACCGCAGCTCAGCGGGCCTCTCCAAAGCTTGCTCTGCTCAGCCTGCTGGGGGGAGGAGGGCTCTGTTCTTCTCACACTACGCCCCACTAGTTTCCAGCTTGCTCGGCTCCTCACCCCGGCAGCCAGACCCAGGTGGGAAGCGGAGGGAGCGGGACAGAGCCATTTCTGCCGGGTGAGGATGGCCACTCCAGGTCACTGCTTCTGTGCAGCATGCGAGAGCCCGGCTGGGAAGGCAGTGGCAGGGGTCCGCACAGCAAGTAACGCTAGCGGGGCGAAAACAGCAGCCCCGGGTCAAGCACGGGAGGGGGCTGGAGCGTGGTCGTTGGAGAAAGCACCGGGAACAGGTTCCCTGTGCTCAACCAGAATAGGGGCATTGCTCATTCTCCTCTCCCTGCTGAGGTATCCATGAGGGTGTGGAAGCTCTAGGGAAAAATTTTATTGCTGTGAGGTCCCCGCCCAGGGCCCAGGCTGGCCCAGCAACTCATGCTCCCCACTCTTGCGGCCCCAGCCCCCAAAAGCCAGCGTAATTGGCTGCCCTGGCTCAGGGAAGTGAGGCTGGAAGGTTCCTCTATCCAGAGGCAACGCACTGGGCATTCACTTGCCCCCCCAACCTTTAAATTGGGCCCTCCTGCTCTTAACACTTACATGTCGCCTCTGCGAGCACTTTAGACAATACATTTAGTCCTTTTCCAGAACAATAGGATTCTATTTAAAAAAAATCTGGTCTCTATCATTAACAATACTTAGTGACTCTTTTTTGTTTTTGTTTGTTTTAACTTTGGAATTGAGCAACTGACTTGTTTTCAAGGAGGCATGTGAATTGTATGATTCCACAGAAGCTGTGAGTGACTAAGCATTAAGATCTTGGACAGTGAGATCCTGGAGATAAATGAAATGTTTCTCCTAGAATAGCATGCAAAAAGGCTGCTGAACAGAATTCAGAAAGTAATCAGATCCCATCTCTGAAACCAACTAGCCCTTTGCCTTTTCTCATTATTTGCAGCAAGTCCAAAAGGAAGCGGCAGAATGTTCCTTTTCTGGTTTCAACCTGACTTAGCAGTGGATAGCGAGTTGCCAAATGCATGCAGTCTGCCCAAGGGTCAAGCCAGCACCACTAGCGTCATCTAGACATCCTTTCCTAACCATCAAGCTGGGCAGGTACCTGGAAGTGGGTTTACATATAGGCTGTCTCCCCGCACCCCCTCTATTAAGTCAATAGGGTAATTGCTGTAAAAGCTCCAAACTAAAAGAGATGCAGAAAGATCAAATCTACCCATGAGGTTTAACCCTAATCCCATTCTTATTTTCTTCCCACCTTGCCTCTGCAGTGACAGAAGATGTAAATTCTGAAACAGCCATACAAGGGCAAAGGCCAAACATGTCTAGCTGACAAAGCACTCTCAGGAACGACACGGGTATGACAAAGTTGTTAAACATAGCTACAGAGTCTCAATTTTTTGGAAAGGAAGTTCAATATAATGCTGCTAGAAAAGTCATAGGAAATGTTGGGGGACAGCTGCATTCTCATCATTTACTGGAGGGAGGACTACTTATGAAATAGAGTTTTCCCTCTTCTCCCCATTCACTAAGGAGGCTTGGGTTCGTTTCTCAAAATGTATTTCCAACAGGCTCCTTACACATAAGCCATGTCTACACTACCACTTATAAAGAATCCGGTGGCACCTTAAAGAGGAACAGATTTATTTGAGCATAAGCTTTCGTGGGTAAAAACCTCACTTCTTCAGATGCATGGCATAGAAGTGAGGTTTTTACCCACGAAAACTTATGCTCAAATAAATCGGTTAGTCTTTAAGGTGCCACCGGACTTCTTGGTGTTTTTGTGGATACAGACTAACACCGCTACCCCCGATACTTGACTACCACTTTTGTCTCTCAGGGGTCTGAAAAAAACAAACAAACAAAACACCACACCCCTGAGCAACATAAGGTTAGCCAGCATAAGAGGCAGTGTGCACAGCGCTACGATGGCGGGAGAGCTTCTCCGGCTAACACAGCTACCGGCCCTCGTTGAGGTGGTTTTATGAGGTCTACAGGAGAGTTCTCTCCCATTGGCATGGAGCGGCTACACAAGCTGTCTTACAGAGGCGCAGCTGTATCAGTGTGCTACTGTAAGCTCGCTAGTGTAGACATGGCCTCAGTTATCAGGCTTTTCACTGAGCTTTGGGACCCAGAAACAGTGGGTTTTGTCGGGCAGCAACGCAAAAGTAGTATGAAACATAGATCAGTGTTCCCACATTGTTTTACAGATGGTGTGTTCATAAATAGGATCACTGTCCCACTTGCCTCTGAAATGCAGATACCTGTGGGGAACACTTTGGGATCATTCAGTACACAAGCCTATGTAAGTGACTGGAAAACATTACTACGTTATTAACAGCGCTTATACTGCATCTCACCACAAATATCCTTTTTATGGTTTACAATTTTGGCAGAAGGAAAAAATAAAAAGCATTACCATACTAAACAGTACTCAGCATCCATCCACCCTGTGAGAAAAATCATTATTAACAAAATCTGTGCAAAACAAATATTTACCTGAAAGAGTTCTTTAAATGATGGGTGGACCATGGGGTTGGGAACAAAAGGCAAAGCATAAAAGGGGAGGAATTCTGTGGTCTGGCTCAGTGCCGCCCCTTTCGTCTCCAGGTATGTTTTAAAGTGAGAAATCCTTTCATCAAAGTCAGCTTTGTCCTAAGAAACAAAGAAACAGGCGTCATTATTTAGAAGACAACTTCAATGGGTGTTTAAGGGGGCTGGCAGCTACAAGTGAAGACGAAATTCAACATCAAGCACTAATTCTCCATCCCACAGTACCTGCTGACCAAGTACGGCTAAGTGCTTCTCAGTGGCCAGCCCAGGGAACAGCACTCAGTCTAGCTAGTCAGAGAGCATTTCACCTGGTCACTTATCCAAAAGGAAAAGGCAGAAGGGTTCTTCCATGTTAGGACAACGGAGCCAAGAGAAATAAGGAGGGCCACTTGCTTTATGAGCAAAACAGTCTTGAGCACTTGGAGCAGATTTCTGCAGGTCAAGTGCCATATCCGCATTCAGCAAGTGGAGAGGAAGTCACTACTTGATTTTAAACATGTTAAATAAGCCATCTCTTGTATCTCTGGCAAGCATGGTATAGTGAAAGCCACACAGGAACAAAATCAATGGGTCAAAAAATCATCCTCAATATCACATGGAATATATTTTGCTGGTAGATATTTATTTCATAAACTGCTTTAAAAAGAAGCATTGTGCTAAACCTAGAAGAGATAACTGTTGATTAAAAAACACAAACATTTTTACTAACAATCATTCTCACTTAAGCCACTAAACACCACATTAGTTACTGACAGAATTTTTAAAATATAATTTACTTTTCATGGACTTCTCTCAGATTGATTGGACAATTAAAAATAAAAAAATTAAAAAAGACTACTCAGTTTCATCTGCTGGCTGCTTGCACCATTGCACTTGTGCATTGTTTAGAATAGATCATACACAGTGCCTGAGACTATTTGGGGATGTCTACACTACAAACACACACCCATGGCGGACCCACGTCAGCCGACTCAGGCACATGGGGCTTGAATTACGGGGCTGTTTTATTGCGATCCCAGAGTCCAGGCTCCAGCCAAAGCCTGAGTCAGCTGATACGGGCTGGTTTGGGTGTTCAATTGCAGTGTAAACATACCCTTTGCTTTTTATACATTTTTTCCAGATGAATATATTTTAAATTCTTGGGAACATCTCTATTAGAATTAAGCATTTTTTAAACACTTACATTTCAGATCAAATTTTACCTGACAGTGTCCAGTCATAACAAAGCAGAGAAGAAACAAGAGAGAACGCAAAGGCTCACACAGTGGGACATTTATTCTAGCAGATACCAATTCTCACCTATTAAACACTGTGGACAGCTTTGTTAACACTAGGTGGCCCATTTAAACTGACCTTTCACAATCTGATGTGCTACTTTTCCATTGTGTAGTTACTATACATTCCCCTGAAGCTATTCCTATTATAAAGTATCATTACTAGGGTCCAAAATAAATTAATTCTACTATATTATGGTGAGGTACTACATAGTTAAGGTTACAAATGATGTTTACAATACAAAACTGGATTTCGGACCACATTCTAAAAGCTGCAGAAAAGGTCATCTGAACCCAAAATAACAGAAATGGTAGATGAAGCTAAAAAAAGACTTTTTTCACCAAAAAAAAATTGAGGTGTCAATCAATCTTGAAATATGGAAGTTTGACATAATGAGGTGCTTTTCCTGTTTGGTAGATTCTGTTCATTAATTTGGTGGTCATATCTTATTTGCCTTGTAGGTTACTGAATGTCCACTGGAATAAAATAAACTCCCATGAATTCAAGGGCAAGATTTTAGAGGTAGACCTCCTTTTGAACTCTTTGGAACTTGACAGTACTCAGCACCTTATAGGATCAGGTTCAAATGAATAATTTCATCTCCACACTTCACTAGCTCAAGGGTCTGCTTTCAAGACAAACTCAAATATAGCCTGCTGTTGAAGGAATGGATTTGCCTGGGAATACCTAAAGACCAATCCATTCTAATCCATTTTGTTTTGGCAAACACCAAGGTTGGAGAAGATACACACAAAAATCAAACTAAGTCCAAACTGAAAAGCAAACCTACAGGCTTGCCCACGGAGTGCTTCAAGAGGTAGATGGCAAAGTGGATGTGAAGATAAAATTCCAGCTTCTGGGCAAGAGGCTCATTGTCTCGGAGTGAAGAGGAAATATGCTCCTCCCAAAGTTCAAAGAAAACTTTCTGCTCTCCATCTTCAAATGCTGTAAGCAGATCCTTCTGCAAAGAAGAAGAGAGTTCATTCAACCCCACATATAGATGGGCAACATTTTCAAAAGTACCTGACTTAAAGCTTAAGTTCCATTTAAATCCATTTAAATCTCTTAGCTTTTTTGAAAATTTTACCCAAAGCCTCTCACAATTAGATACAATTAGAGCGCGGTCACAGCACTGAGAGATCACCAAGGAATCAATGCCTGCGTGGCAGACACAAAACCCACTTCAACGGGCTTCTGATCTTGTGACTTCAGCCAATGCAAGTGTGTCTGCATCTTATTAAACTTGCCCCCTCCTCAGATATGGCTCTTTTCATTCATTTTCTTTTTTGGTAGCTTCTCCTTCAGGGGTTTGTTTTTCTTAACATCAGCCTCTCTTGTCACTTCTATAGAAGTGATCCACAAATGTATATGTCCCCGGACTTTCTCTCTGACTCTCCTTATCCCCCAGCTATCTTCATGTCTTCACTATCAGCTCCTGGCTGTATGGTAACTACCCACTATGAAATATTTCTAAATATTAGAGCAGGGGTAGGCAACCTATAGCATGCGTGCCAAAGGGAGCACAGGAGCTGATTTTCAGTGGCACTCACACTGCCCGGGTCCTGGCTACCAGTCTGGGGGGCTCTGCATTTTAATTTAATTTTAAATGAAGCTTCTTAAACATTTTAAAAACCTTATTTACTTTACATACAACAATAGTTTACTTATATATTATAGACTTATAGAAAGAGACCTTCTAAAAATGTTAAAATGTATTACTAGCACGTGAAACCTTAAATTAGAGAGAATAAATGAATGAAGACGACTTGGGACACCACTTCTGAAAGAACAGGAGTACGTGTGGCACCTTAGAGACTAACACATTTATTCGAGCATAAGCTTTCGTGGGCTACAGCCCACTTCATTGGATGCATAGAATGGAACATATAGTAAGAAGATATACATACATACAGAGAACATGAAAAGGTGGAAGGAGCCATACCAACTGTAAGAGGCTAATTAATTAAGATGAGCTAAGGTGCCACAAGTCCTCCTGTTCTTTTTGCGGATTCAGACTAACATGGCTGCTACCCTGAAACCTGTCACTTCTGAAAGGTTGCTGATCCCTGTACTAGAGTCCTCTGTTTTTCATGTACACTCACCTTACCTTAGACCCCCTACCCTACTACAATTAGAAACCTTGGAAGTCATCCTAGATTCCAAAATTGCCCGTATCTCTCTGCTCTCCCTGATGAATAAATTTGTCTATCCCCACCTCTAGAACACAACTTAGCTAGAATTCACCCTTACCATCTCCCAGTCTCTGAAAAATAATCCACATTCATGGTTCGATTACTCCTCATCACAATTAATTCAATTTATGGTCTTCTTAAATCCTTATTTACCAAACCTCAGAGAGTTCAGAACACTGCAAGCCTCTCTCTTGTTCTAGAAAACTCAGTCATAACAACCTCTTTCCTCCATCACCTTCACTGGTTTCCCAGCCATCTCCAGATCCAATTAAAAAAATGCCCTCCTGGTTTTCAAAATTATTTGTTAACTTCGTTCATTAAACCTCTTGGCCTTCACATTATCCTACACCTCCACTCACCCACTCTGCTTCTTCTTCATCTCCTTACCACAACCCTCCAAGGTTGGGAGGCCTTCACATTATTTCCGTTGTCCTATCTCACTCAAAAAAATAATAATAATCACACCTTAAAATCTCTCTGTAAGATGGATATGAAACTCTGCCCAACTTTCACTCACTCCTCATCATTTATCCTTCCCCTTTCCTTCTCTAACTATGATTAGTGTGCAAAAAAATAATACGGGGGGTACAGGAAGAAACATTAGATCTAGATGTATCAGTTTATCCATGTCTTCATAATAATGAGGTAGAGTCCCAGGAGCAGAGGGAGTACATAATTCCTGGGTATATTTTAATAAGTTAACATGATGGATGGATGTATTTTGTTTTGTAAAGTGTGCCTATCCTATATTCTAGAGCACATTTACAGATAATTTTATCCAGAAACATTCAGAATGTTTCAAAATATTAACAACATCATCCTCCTAACCATTAGGAATAACAACTTTGCAACAACCCACTCCTACCCTCCTCATCAACTTGAGACATAACATGACCATCAAGGCCTGTAGCCAGACCATAGTGTCTCGTGATTTTGAGTGCCTCAGCTTTGGGCATCCTATTTGACTTGTCTTAAAGATGCCTGGTTTAATGAAGGTGGGAGTTCAGTAGCGGAGCATGGAAAAAAGCAGATGTTTTGACTCGCTGGCAATTCCGAAAACACAGGAAAGGAGTTCAATGTTGGTCAAACCAAAATGAAACATTTTCCAAATATTGAAACAAATTAAAAATTAAATTAGAGAATTTTGGAACAAAAAGTCATTTTGAACTGAAAAAAATCTAAACGTTTTGATTTTTTCAGAATTTCTTTTTTTTTAAAACCCCAAAATAATTTCACAAAATTGACTGGAATTCATGAAACATTTAGGTGTTGCTGACTCATCATTATTTGCCAAACAAAAGTTTTGTATGAAAAGTTTCACCCAGCTCTACTGAAAATCAGACACTTCCAATGAGCGTCAATCTGGAAACCCAAAAACTGAGCCACCCAAATTCATGAGTCGCATTTGAAAATTTAGACCTTGAGCTCTGTAGGACTCTGGTTCCTGATGGGGTGAATTTCAGCTGAGATTCTTTCACTGAAAATACCCTGCTATCAGCCTACTCCTGTTTAAACCAAAAGTTAGCTTAAGCATTTCAGATTATTTCAACTGATGTAATAGTACAGTGCTCTCTACCTGTTCTGATCATTAGCTAGTCAAACCAAATATAAAAGATTTGTTACCTGGATAATCAAAGCCTTTGAGTCTCTCAAGGAACCACCTGCTGTTTTAGGTAATGGCTTCCCTTTTATTTTACATTCCTTTGTAAACGTTTTCACTGTGTCTTCAAACTCTGCAAAGTCTAAATACTAAAGACACAAGAACACACATAGATAACAAACTCTTAAGCTTTTTAATGTTTAAAACAGTGACCAATAAATAGGCAAACTTATTTACAGATTTGCTACAAAGCTTTACTATAGTCAGTTGATTTTTTTTAAATCAAGAAAGGCAACTAATAACCAGTAATGCAACAGTTTTTTTAAGCTTGGTTGAACAGATAATTACAAGAAAGTTATGTGACTAACACTTTCTGAAGGTATCATCATCTACAGGTAATGGGACCTCTAGCTTCAAGAGAATCAGACAAACGTTGTGGCTGAATTTTAAAAGATCTGAGAATTTTACCATCACTCATAATATCTTAACTTAAGCAAACCACATTCTTCAGGCCAAGCTGCAAAAGGTCCAGAAAGATTTCTCCCTCCTCCATCCAAAATGTACAAAACTAGCCACATTACAGGTTTTGGGGAGATTTGCCTGCCTCTGAAATATCAGCCAGTGTTAGAGGCAGGACACACATTTGGATGTACCAACAATCTGGTGCGTCCAATTATGGAAAATCCTGTGTTTGGCTTTACCATTTCATGAGAAATTCATAAAGTACAAATATAGACTAAAAACTGTTGGTATGAAAGTGTAAAAATAGAGAAACCAAATCACAAGAGTGGAGCCTCTGTCACCAGAGTAAGGAGAAAAGATATGTCAATTACGTGATGAAGCAAGTTGTATGTACTGTTTGTGGCACAGGGCTAAACAGGTGGCTGTACCACAGCAAAGCCTTAACTTAAAACTAATTTAAAAGAGAAAATTCTTATCTGTGTTATTGATACCGAGAAGATTAAAATTTAAATAATGTATGTTGATGTTTCACCATTCATGCTGTTTTCTTGTTTGTTACATTTTGGATATACCCCAATCCTATAAAGACTTATACACGTTATTCAACTTCATACACTGCAAATAGTCCCAGTGAAGGCAACGGCACTAATCACAGTGCATAATGTTAAGTATATATTTTAACTCTTTGTAGGATCAGAGCCTCACGTTAGACAATAACAGGGGACTGGTACATTTCACTTTCTAATTCTCAGGTACTAATATATTTGGTCTGTGAGTCTAACACCACAGCGAAGGATTAAACAAATGCTTTTCAATGTTTATTTTAAAAATTTCATTAACACAATTCTATTTATATTATGTTTTGCAAATCCTTTTTAAAATGAAACCTTTTGGGTCCAAAGTTACTTGATAGTGTTCCTTTAACTAAGGTCCTGATTTTGCAATGAGCTCCATGCAAGCAGTGAATGCCCCATCAGTGGGACTCCATGCAGCTGCAAGCATCTACTCACATAGAGTAATGGCAGCATCAATGCCTAACAGTTACAAATTTGCCCCTTCCCCCATCCCTAAATGCAGGCACCAGATGATTTCTTCTTTTTTATTCCGTAGTAAACATCTACCTCTTTCACCAGCCCAAGTAACTCGGCTTCATAAGCTAGGATGTCTCCCATCATTAAAGGTTACTGCTGAATCTCACTGAAGACAGACCTACAAGTCATCAAAACACATTGAATTATTAACACCACTAGTTATCTATCATTCACACGTTATCTATCAGAGTGTTTCCCAAACACTGGGTAATGGCCCAGGGGGTCACCAGAAGGTTCTAGATGGGTTGCAGGCCCAATGCAGAGGGGAGGCCCCAGGAATGGGGGTTCGTGGAGAAAGCGCCCATCCCCCCAGTCATCAGGAAGCAGAGGCTCCTGTCTCCTGGAGCTTGGCCTGGCTCCCCACTCCAGGCATTGAGACCTGGTACACAGGGTTGCACCGCCACTGATTTGGCTCAGCCAAACCTGAGCGTCACTGAAACCCTGTGTGCCAGGTCCCAAAGCCAGGAGCAAGGAGCTGAGCCCAGCTTCATGGGACAGAAAGTGCCACCATGGGCTGAGTGCCTGAGTGCAGGACAAGCTTGCTCTCCAACCAACCAATCCACCCACCACCACCCCGCAGCCTCCCTTCTGGACCAGGCCATGATTAGGATTGTGGTAATGGGATGGAGGATGATGCTGTGGCAGGGTTGCTGGAACAATTTTTATAGTGGGGGTGCTGAGAGCTGTTGAACCAAACTATAAATCGTGTGAATAATAGAAACCACTTCAAGCCAGTGGACCCCCGCCCCGCACTGCAACCACTTCAAGTTGCAGCGTTTCCTGCTCCCCTAGTTCCAGCATCTATGGGCTTTGGGGTGACCTGTCAATGCCCCATTGGCAAGGCAAGAAGGAGGTAGCAGACGGGAAGGAAAAGGATGTTGGCCTATGATTTTCGCCCCCAGCCCCGCCATGAATTTGGACACTGGGTGGGTCGCATAAAAAGATAAAGTACAGTTGGTGGGTCACTTTAATAAAAAGTTTGGGAACACTGGTCCACCTTATTTCCAGTAATGCTCCAAAAAGGAATTCTGTAAATACATCTTCTTGGTGCTCCATATTTCAGCCCCAATCCTGCAAAGAACCAGCTAGCCCATCTCCTTGGAGACCCATTGACTCCAATGGAGAGTCTCACAAATGCAGGGATATGCCTGGCCAGCGCGTTAGCAGATTGGGGGCCTAAATCTCCATTAAAGACCTTCATACGAAATTAGATCAGTTTACATCAGCACAGCAGGTTCAACCGGCGTCACCAACAATAAATGGGGGCATAAGAACATAGGTGGCGGTTTTGCCAATGGCACAATAGTGAGAATCTTTATTGGTTCCTGTTGTACAAAACGTAAATGTGTGCGCGCGCAGGGAAAAGCACGGATGCCGTAGCCGGCTGCTAATGGAAGAGTAAAACCTGATTGAATATTCTAGGCTGGCTGGGCGTGCGGTCACCTGCGGCCAGCGACGCTGTGGTGCCAGCCTTGACCGCTGGTGCTGATGACCCACAAAGCAGAATATGAGCTAGACCCCCCCCCCCCGTACCCCTCAGCCTGGCCATTATTAGCCACCCCCTTTCCCACAGGCAGGGCCGCGGAGCTGGAGCCTGGGAAGAGACTGGACGGAGGAGCGGGGAGAGAAGCGGGGGAGAAGCCCCATTTCTGCTGCACCCCCAGTTTGGCTAAGGGCTGGGCTTGATCCTTCCGGGGGAGGGAGGGAAGGAAGGGGAGCCCCCCCCTACAGCCACCCCACCCCACCCCACGTGGGGAACCCCTCGCCACTAAGGCTGGGGGGGGAACCCCCATCACAGCCACCCACCCCAGGGCAGGCAGGCTGACCCTCATCCCCAGAATGGGGGGGCCCTCCCATTAATCCCACCCAGGATGGGTGGGGGAAGCCCCCTCCCCAAGAGCTGGTAGGGGGAGCCCGCCCGGGGCGGGCCGTCCCCCCATCCCTGCAGGCGGGGAGGTCTCGCTACCCGGGGGCCGGAGGCTCCTACCTGCTCCGCTTCGGGTCCCACCAGGCCGCTCCCCGGCCCGCTGCGGCGTTGCCTGGCAACGGCAGCTCCCCCTCCCGCGCTGAGGCCGGGGTCACGTGATACCGCGCAGCCAATCTGGAGGTAGGGGGCGTGGGCCGGGATCATGTGACAGAGAGGGGCCGGGGCGAGAGTGGGCTGGACGCTTGTGGCCGGGGGGGCTCCCCCTAGCCGAGGGGGGCGGGGGAGCGCCGGGCCGGGCACCGCCTGTCCCAACCGGGTGTACAGCGCCTAGCACGGCCGAGCCGGGGGGTTCAGTGGCGCCCGGCGCTGCCCGTGTGCGCAGCCCCGCCCTCAGACCTGACCGACTGGACAACTCGCGGGGGGGGGGGGGGGGGGCAGCTGAGGAGAGGGGAAGGGACGTGCCCCAGGCTACACAGCTGGCCGGCTGGGAAGAGAATCCGAGGGGCGGGTCTCACCCCCAGGTCGGTGCCCCTCCCCGCCCCCCGGTGCTGGCCCAGCGCTTCTGAAACTCGAGCCATTCGGAAACAGGCCCTTCGCATTACCCCGCATGGTGAGCAAGAGCCCCCATTGTACAGAGGGGGGAAACTGAGGCAGAGAGGAAGCAAAGGGCTGTTCACTTCTGAGAAGGGAACCAGGAGGTCCCCCTGACTCCATCACATTCTCACCCCAGCAAGAACAGTGACATTTTTAGCTATTTTATGAATCTCTAAGTTTGAATGTGGCAGCCTAACTCAAGGCTAGTCTACACTGGCAGCTCTTTAACGGGGGTGGTCGAGAGCCCTCCCAGCACCCTAAACAAACCACCTCCACCAGGGGGGTAGCACCCAGGCTGGTGCACTGTCTACACTGGTGCGTTACAGCTCACCCCCCCCGAGCGAGAAAGTTGCAGTGCTGTAAATTGCCAGTGTAGACAAGCCCTTTTAAGTATACACAGTGATTGCAGACTCACTTCACATTTGCTGCTCTCCAACCTCTGAAACCACAAGAGCTGCAGGCCTGAATGACATCTTTGTGTTTGCTCCAGAGCTTTCTGATATCCTGTACAGCATTGCTCTGTGTGGAATTCATGCTTTGCATTAACTAGGAAGGCTCTGTGTTTTCAGTCAGAGGGGCTCTATCACAGACAGGTTTTTTTGAATACAAGTTATTTTCCCACATTAACATTGTCTGCTACCACAAAAATTAATGTTGGGGTTTTTTTTGCTGACCCTCTGTGATGAGACTGTTCCTTTAATTCTGTCTCTAACATGAAATTTAATTGTGGGTTGGAATTAGTTTTTTAGAAAAATCTATATCATCCCACATGTCTGTAACCCCTTGCTTTTGGACCTTTCCAGTTAAAATCTGCAAACTGCATACACAGCTTTCTCTGTTTTCTAGTGCATATGCCTTGCAGATACAGCTTTTAATTACACAGACAGTTTATAAAATATAATATAAAACTTCATAACATATACATGTATAACATCTGCCACTGAGTAATAGCATGTTATAGGTGCCAAACAGATGGAAACCATAAAAGTCATTTAAATAGTATAAATAGGGCAAGGACTCCCTGCCTTGTTCACTGTATACCTTACAAGTTGAATTTTAGAAAGCTATAGAAAATAAATTGGATGATATTTTATTATTTGAGAAATAGCATGTGAGTATGCAGTTAGAATCTCAGAGCATACACACAACATGCAGCATGAAGGGTTGTGCATGCAAACCTTAACATTGCACATTCAGAAAAAATCAGAAAAAGCCACTGTTAAGGTTCTGTTAATATAGCTCACAGTGGATTGTTTGGAAAAAGACATTACGCAATCTCAAATTAATGGGCCAAATACCATTGGTATGCTCTGTCCTGTTCAGAGAGGCCTGTCTCACTGCGTGCACACTTGCTTTCTGTACAGCCTGGCTCATTGAGAGTGCAGTGCTTGAGACACACAGATTCACTGACTCCTAGCCTAGCACAGATTCCCTGGCCTCTCTTCCTTTAAAATGCTAGTAAAAATGGCTCCGAAACTGAACCCAAAGTTCTACGCATGCCCAAAATGCAAGTTTCAAATACTAACAACTATGCAAAATCCAAAAGCCACTTTCATGGGAAATCTCAAGGGTACTTTTCCTCAATAAGAGCTATTTCCCGTCCAGCCTTCAGCTTTCTAGCCTTAAGCTATTCAAAACAGTAAGATGACTTTTAATTAATGATCTATGTGTATTCTTTTCTTCTCATTTTTGATCAGACGTCCCACAAACAGGAGGAAAAAAAAATCACACTTGAGCAGACACCAGATCTAAAAATATCAGCTGATAGGTGAAATGTATGGAAAGTTAGGAGCAACCAGAGACTGGGTTATAATTGACCCACACAACATTCAGGATAGCTATTGCTAACATTCCAGCAACAGCATACCGGGATCGCTATACCACCATTAAAAAGCAGCCATCTCTGCAATGGAAAGAAACTGGGGCAAATCCCCTCTCTTAGGGAAAAGGATGTTTAACAACCACATAGCATAGTCAAGACCTTGTCTGAATAAACCCGGAATGAATCAGTACAAGGAAGGGATCACTTAACTGGGTTCCAATTCAACTAAGGTCAAGAGTCATGGAGTTCTCAGGTATAAAGCTATTGTGACTAGAGTCTGTGCCACCAAACTCCTATAGGCATGATGTGATCCAGGTCCTACAAAGAATTTCCAGGTATTTATAGATAAGTTTGACGTGTCTTGAAATGACTACCAGTATCTCAGTGATGGATCAAGCTATTGGGAACACTCCAAGGATATGGACAACTAGGACAGTTGTGCGCAAGAGCTGGTGCCGAGGGTGGTGTGATCAACTAAGAATTAATACAGCTGACAGTTTTTTGTAATACACTTTGTCTTTGCAAAGCAGTCAGCTGCCCCTTCACTGGGGTTTTAAATAGACAAAAGATAACTGTGGTGATGGGTGGCAATATAAAACTCTGTGGTAGATTGTCAGTGGAAAACTGCACCAGCCAGCACTGCAATACTGCGAACTGCTGTATATATTCTGTGTATCAGCTGCTAGAGAAAATGGCACATTTACTAGGTAAACTCATCATCACTTGGCTGTTTACATCTCACTTTAAAAGTATAAATACATATTGGGAACTTTTCTGCTGTTAGAACATGTGGGATTAATGGATATAAATTCCATTATGGCAGATGGGCACATTAGAAAATCCCCAACACATGGGTGGAATAACCATATCAAAAATTACTGCACAATAATCACATTTGACAAGCATTTTCAGTCAAGGGGACTGAGTAATGGAATGAACTTCCAGGGGAAATTAGGTAAACCTGGAGTCTGATCCTCTCTAGGAAATGCTGCAAAATCCTCCTCTTTTTAAAAAAAGCCTCTTCACCGTAGAAAGAATGAGACTCACAACATTGACACCCCCATCTTCCCCAAATCCTCCCCCTCATAACAAAACAAATCAACAGCCAACCCAAAAATATACCTCCAGCACAGATTTTATACCAGAGAGAGAGAAGCCAGAAATTCCATGAAGTCCCCCTAGAGATTTCACTATTGCTATTGATTTTACATGGAAGGCCCTCAGATACTGTAGTGATGGACAGCAGAATAAAACCTTAGGGTAGAATCTAGGAGGTACCCAAGGCTGGAACAGTAGGGATTGCTATGGGTCAGGAGGGAGGTGCATTGGCAGAGTTCAGTGAAGGGACCTGGAACAGATTAGCTGGGGATGTTGTGAGTCAGGCAGCGCGGTTGGGGAAGGAGGGAGGACCGGAATAGCACAATATTCTGCAGGTCAATATTAAATACAGTCACAAAGATGTGGAGACAACTTGCCCAGTGTCGGCCTTCACCATTCCTTCCTCAAGCCAGTGCTAGTGCTTCACCTTTACGAGCAACAGCTTCACTCACTGTGGCACTCCGCCACCTTTTTATGGCTGTTTTAACAGCTATCTCTTGTGTAAATACTGTGTGCTTTTTAATATCCCTGAATTTATTCAGAGTTCAGAAATTCCAGAAACTAGAAACATCTGCCTCTCCTGGCAAATCCGCAAAAGGCTGAAAGGATTGTTGATACTTGTGGGTTATGCTGCTGTGTTGCTGTTCAAAGCTAAAATTACTGTAGGTCCCCTTCTGTTTATTCTAAAAGCAGATGCTTCCCGCTGTAAACAGAGAAATCTCTATAACCCTGTGGCTTATTGGAGCATGTTGAAACCATGGAGTTTCTTTTCCATTGATAATATTTGCACAGCCTTTAAAGAAAAGGAGTGCACTTTTGGGTGCATTGAGGAAACGGTCTATCTGATGTGCTAAATACAGTAACCTGGGGAAACTAAATTCATATCAGAGAGAAAAGACAGAAGGTAGATAACGTGTTGAGATGGTGTTTGCTCTGATGCTGTTGTCTTTTTGAACCTACTAAATGCGTTTTTGAAGGAAACTAAAAATGTAATGAAGTCAGCCATCTATAGGACTCAAAGGAAAAAGATGTGTAGTCAGCTACACAAGGGGGGTGTTCTATGCAAAGTGACCTCATATTTTCCAGCACCTGCCGTATAATCTTCTGTACTCTGGAATGTTGCAGGTGTTGAAGCTGCATTAGTTTGTGGTATGCTACACAGCATATAAAAGGAATAAAGGTTTGCTTTGATAGTGTATTGTGAGATTTCTTCAGCCCCCTCCATGCCCGAACAATCTCCATGCTCAATCTGTTTATTGAAGTATACACTAGTCATACACAAATCTATAGTTCAAAGCCAGAGAACTTGAAATCACTTGGTTAGACAAAGGCAGAAAACAGCCCATAAATAAAAGTCCTGCAAGTTCCTTCCCTGCCCAAATATTTAAGAAGAAATCAAAGTAACTGAGCAAAAACCAGAGATGACACTTCCAACTTACTGAACTGCTTAATAGTGATAACACCACATAGCACTTCTATAGTACATTTAATTAGGAGCCCAAACTGCCAACAGCAGGAGCCTCCGCTCTTAGCCCTAGGCGGTCGACAGCGGAAAGTCACAGAAAAGTAATAATGGATCTTACTGCTTCAAATAATAATGTCCCCTGCGATTTTCCATGGCTT